AAGGATGACAGTTCATAATATAATGAAGTTTTAATAAAAGTACAACAGATTTTACTCTTAAAAACAATACAAATACTAGATTTCGTTAATACGAACTGTCCTAGTTTTAATAAATCAGAAGAATTTATATCTGTGACATATTCTATATGTTACTAATAAGAGCTTTTTAAAATGAGTTTCATTGGACATGCATGGATGGATTTTTCAGTTCAATATTAACTTGATAATTTACGTATTGTGATCATAAATTATATTTATTAGTAAAAATTACAAAAAGTATATATGAAAAACTAAGATGTGATGAAATGTCCAAATTGAGTACATTTTATTATTATTAATTTTTATTTCAATAAGGTCATGTGTTCTACAGGAAAAGCCCGAGAAATCAATCATTTTTTTTCTCAAATGGTCTCTGTCTTTTATCATGTACATTTGCAAAACTCATTGAAAGTATATTATTTTTTTTATTGAAAGTAAAAAGCTGCTTCGAAAAATGTTATTTTTTCTCTGATCTAAAATTTATACATTGTAAAAATTTTATTCGTAATATATATCAGAGATTTCAAATGACGATATCGAGCGCTAAACTTCTTTAGTTTTTCTTGAAAAACTCAATGTAATTCTTCGATTGATAATAAAAAACAAATATGTAAAAGAAAGCAATAAAATTGTCATCATGATTTTAAAAAGCTTTCTTTATATTCAACAAAATTTTTTTTCCTCTTGTGAGTCAGGCTATAGAGGCGTGAGTTTCGCCGCTGAGCTACATTCATCGAGATCTATATACAGTCAAGTTTTCAGAGCAATATCTCTGGTAGTGACTGAGATCTGAATCGGGGATACTTTTGGCCAGTACTGTAGATAAGATTAGGATCATGCTATTGCTAAACAAATACCCACCAAAATTTATCGACAAACATACAAGACGTTTCTTTCAGGATGTAACAGATACACAAACTACAAGCCTACTCTTAGGTAAAAATCACTCGAAATATAGGGAATCAATCTTAGAGCCAACATGGAATAAGAATGAAAAAAGAAAAATACAAGTTGACAATGATATTCTCCTTCACTTTACATACACCCCATCACTAGTAAACTTCGGATTCCGACTTCATCATATCTGGCAGGAAATATTCGAAGGAACACCACTTGATGACATACCTGTTATTTACGCGAATAGACTTACCGACAGCCTAAGACACCTACTTGTAAAAAAATGACCCACGAGAGAAGCAATAAAGCTCTTGCCAGTACCTTCAGATAATAAGCTATAGATAGCAGAAAATGATCTTAAGAAAAGAAAAAATTTATTTTATGAAAATTTAACGCGGAATATCTAATATAAAGAAATGTAATTTAAGAAAATTCAATCTAAAAGAGAAATAACTAATAAATAGAAAACTTCAGAGATATAGATAAAAAATGGTAAATGATTTGGGATAGATGCATATACATGAGAAATAAAAGAAAAATTTCTCTATAGATAAGAGTTACCTCTATAAAAACAATTTTTTCTTAAAGATATGAACTTCGTGTAAACAAAAATTTCCTTTTTTTTGTTTTAGATTTTATTTTCTGTGTTTTTCTTGTTCTCGTTTTTCTTTTCTTTTCTAGATGATTATCAAAATCAAGGAATTCTTTTTCTTCACCTATGGATCATTATTATACAAACAATTTATGACCTTTCTCTAGTTGATAGACTATTTTTTATAGATGAACTCTCGTTAAGAAGGTATTACAATCCAATGAGATCTCCCACCATCATATAACAAAGGGTTAACTCAATCAGACGGATTACTATGTTTTAAAAGTTAATTTTTTTAAATTGAATTATTTATTTCGAAATTATATATTTATGCAATTAAAGAACTGAATTATTCATTTAGAGACTATACATTTGGTTTTTTAAAATTAGTTATTAAGAAATTATATATTTATGCATTTATTAAAAGATCGAATTAGGTATTTAGGGATTAAATATTTATACACAACAATTTATTACAATCGATACGCTCGCTTGAAAAAGAACAAATTCGAAAGGCCTTGCGTTATTATTTATTTATTGTTCAATTTTTCTTTCCTCTTCTTTCTTGGAATTCTTTTTTCATATTTCTGTCTATCATTTTTTTGTCTTTTTTTTCTTTCTTTCTTTTTGTGTTATCAGTTATCAATAATCCAAAACAATAATAAATATTAAAAAGAAAAAAATTCAATATATTTATATATATCTATTATACGTATTCATATAATTCAAAACATTTCTGTTGCCTTGTCAAAATTAAAAGAAACGTTTGATACAAAATAGTTCACGTCAATCTTATTAATTTGTATCATAAAATAACATCGTCAGTTTTTCTTGTTTAGCATCGATAGTAAGACTGTGTACCACATGCTGTCAGCTCCCACTAATGATTGAAGTAAGATTATTTAAGCGGTCTTTCAATGCTCGATATCAATCATTTGTAATAAGAAAAATCAACTATGTTTGCCATCGTTATCATTGCTGCTCTATTCTTTTCGGTTTTTAGTGTTCAATTGTCTTGGAATAGAAAGTCGAGTAAGAATTATACGATGTTAGTTTTTTTTCATTTCATTAACTGTGTCTTTATTCTACAGTAAAGCATGCTATTAGTTAGCGAATCAACAGATTTATTTTATGTTATTAATTTGAATATTTTTTCCATAAATACCGGAGTCTGTCTCATTATTTCTATTCACTGAAGAAATTTCAGTACTGTTTATTTAAATCATTTTTTGTGTATTGGTTAATTATGCTGTCGATAATAGATTGTTCCAAGTTATTGCTAACAAAGAACCATATTAATACATGCTTCTCAAAACTATACCTACTAAATATACTACAAAATTTCAGTCGTACTAATAAGAAAGAAACTAGTAGTTATTGTTTCGGAAACCGAAACTTTGACAGTTTTCATAGTTTTATTCAAATTCTACTGCAATTTCTGATTTATCACCAGTTCCTCTGATATTTTGTTTTGCTTTTCTTATGAATAAAAACATGTAATAATAGCAAAAACAATCAGCTCATTTGATTCAGACAATGGGAAAAGATTTAAAACGTTTTATTGTAAAGTTATTGATGAGCTGAATCTGTAAATTGTAAAATGTTTACTATTTCTAGCCTGTCCAGAATCTTCGTCATTAATCACTTTTGATGATATAACCAATATAACAAACACATCGGGTGTTCCAGTACCGAACGGCTATAGTGGTTTAAATTGGGAAAATGTTTTGGTTTTAAATGGTTTAAATGATAGTAATCCTGGTACTGGCTATAGAACGGGTGTTGTTAGTCCTCCATATCTTGCCTTTGATGGATATGGTAGTCCTATGACTATCACAAATGCAGCTACGAATACATTCACAATAAATTCATTTTATTCCTGCGCAGCTTGGTATGATAACATTACATTGGAAATAACCGGTATAAGAGCAGGGACTACTTTGTATACAAAAGCAGTATCATTATTTACCCAATCTAGAACTTTTATTGAACTCAACTGGTCTGACATTGATACTGTAAATTTCAATTCGATCTGCGAGTGGTGTTGCGATGCAAAACATTTTACAATGGATAATTTGTGTGTCAAATTCTAAAACTGAGATGTTAAACAGCATAAAAATTAATGTTCACAGAAATAAAAACTGTTCTTCGTCATTGAACTATTCTTTTAATTTAAACTAAAGAATCGGTACCAGGACTCGAAACGGGCTATCTTTTTCATGGCTCAGTCCAGATTCAAAAGCTAGTTTTTTTCAAAGAAATTTTTTCGATAAAATTCGGAAATAACTTCAATGTTAACAAAAATTGAAATAAAGTTCATATGAGATAAGTTGATTTCTTTGTTAAGTCAAATGAACAAACAAAAGATGTTTAAACCTATTTGAACTGAATAATGATCATTGTGCATAACTCAATGTTCATTGTTACAAAATTGTTCATAAAATAAACTCATACAAAGTGCATGATATTTCTGGATGAAATGTTTTTTTCTATGTTTAGAGATACACCTCGATGTTTAAGTATTGCCGAACTTGTTAGTTCTCCAAACTCTCGATATCAAAGTTTTTTTCATTTCACACGTAGATTATTTTTAACCACCTTTTATTTGGCTAGATAGTCAAAATCAATAGAAAGCATTCTCTCAAGTAAATGATACAAAGCCCATAGAACGACCCTATTTCCAGAAAATGATATGATTTTCATTGATTGACTAGCTTGTCAATGTGATATAGTTAGATAAAAAGTTATTTTTGCTTCCTATTCTCAATGATGGTTTGTTTGCGACAACTATCAGTTTAAGCAATTACTATGGTTGATTACATTATTCTGGTAGAATGAAAGTAGTGTCCTGTGCTTCCAAAAAATAGAATCGAGAACTGAAGCGGTTTATGACCATATCAGAGTTGCATCCTACGTATTTTTTAAAGAGGTGCCGAATTGGCTGAGATTTGTTGACATCGTAACCGTATGGGCCTTAGAGTCATTCATACCTTGCTACTCTTGTATGGTTTCACTCACAATGAAATTCTTTAACTATTTAAAACATTCATTTGTAATATTACTACAAAGAAATATACAAATATTTTGGTTAATACTTATACATGTAGCATGAATGAACAAACGTAGTTTACTTTGAGAAGTTAATTTTGTATCTATATTATTTGCTCATATTTCTCGTTTCTTTTTTTGACATTCTCCGTTGCCTTTCTCTCTTATGGTTGTTCTATTACCTACAGTCACACTCACTCACCCACACCCTCCATCCAAATCATACCTACTCGCCACCTCACAACTACACCCACCCACACCCCGCTCAAACCCACACTCAACCACACCTAGAACCATGCTCACCCACAACCACATCCATCACCCCCCAATCAAATAGTTCAGTAAGAAAGCCTTAATCGGTAAATGTAGATTGAGTCATGTTGGTGCATGTCAAAATATTTTAACGTACTGCCATATTCACTGTTTATGGATGTGCTAGTGAATATACTTCTGATGCTGTAAGTTCACGTGCATAGACTCGAAATTCGTCTAACGACCCACTATATTGTCCCATCTGTATCGTGCCTGTGGCACAATATCCAATTCCACTCAGTGAATTTCCGAGTGTAATCGTCATGGGAACACTACTGGCGGAAAAAGTGTAAGTACTCGACGATGAACCATATTGAGCACCATTGACATACAGTCGTTCTCCATTGCTTGATGAATAGGTTGCTGCAACATGAGTCCATGAATTGAGCGAAACGATAGGTCCAGTAAGGACAACATTGCCACCACTCCAACTATTAATAGCAATTTGTCCGGCCGAAGTGAAACCCATGATTGGAATACACCAGGAGCCGGTTCCAGCCGTTCCGGAACTCAAATGCATTATTGTTCCACCAGAACTGCTTGTAGGTTTGATCCAAATGGCAACCGAATATGGCCAACCACTTGTACCCAAACGTCTCAGGCCTGTGATTTGAATATAGGAGGAGCTGCCGGAAAGTGTAAGAGCAGCATTGACTCGACCCAATGATGTGTAAGAGTAACTCGTCCCTGTTCCATTAATCAGTAAAGGACCGCTATCAAGAAGACTATTATCATCGAAAGATAGATAGGCCACATTAGTAGCATCATCCAATACTTCCGTTGCATTCTTTGCTCGACCAAAATATGCAATCGAATCAAGACAACCATCAAAATAGTTATTCGGTGCATTGACGTTGTTCGTACCGATAGTCAAGGCCCTGAAACAAGATGCATGATCACCTGACTCCTTCCAACATTTATAAAACTTTTCAGTGTATATTTTTATGGCTCTAAAATCTGGAATTGATAAGCACTTAGAAGTGAAGTCACAGACGAGCTTTTCACAAGCACAGAAACTTTACTGGGAATTGAAAATCATTGAAATCGAATGCTTTTCGTTTTGCCTATTAAAGTTCAGTTTTCTGAGATAATCTCATATACTAGACATTACTTCTTTTTATCTCAATCGATACTATGATACTGCATCACTATTGGATTGATTACATTATTCGACACATGATCCTAAGGTGTTTTGTTTGAATCTTGGTATAATTGATTATGAAATTACTCTGAGCTAGTTATACACAAATAACGTTCATCGAGACTCAATTCACTTGACATTAGACTGGCAAGATGCAGATATGCGTATAGCCACATCAGGAGATAAGTATGCTGCAAGTAAAGTACAAGATAAATGCCATAGATGAATTGACATATAAGAGCAAGTCGCTTCACAAAATCAATTTTTTCGTAATATAAAACTTGATTTACATGTTAAGAAAGAAAACCTTATTTCGAATATACTACAGTTGACTAGTTCAGTTCAGTTTATATATGCAATATTATTTGTTTTTATATAGCTATTTTGTCAAAAGTCAGTCAATAGTTGCACTACTGCCACTATATTCCTTTATACTTGGTATTGTTCGTGAAATTCTACTTTTAATTTCGAATGATATTTCTGTACAATGAATGAAAATTTTTTTTATCATGTAGTAATACCTGTCAAATTCCTCAAGTTTCCCCAAATGATATGCGATAACAAAATATTCGTACATCTATTTTAGCGATTTTATGCTTCAAGTTTCAATGTTTTAAAGAATAACCTTGACATTGAAAGCATTTCAATCTTGTATCATTCTTAATATTATGTGTCGTCTTTCTGTTTGGAATAAAATCTATATTACATATATTGACCAGTTCATTCGTTAGAAATGTGACTTCGCAAACTAAAAATACGTATATCTCAGAACAATAAATCCTGTCAGAGCTGAGTTTTTGTATGTTACATATATATGAAGCTACTTTAGATACCCTCAAAAAAGTTAGCATTAGAGAGTTTCATTCGGAGAAATCATCAGTAAAAAGCAAGCATTACCGACGCGACACAAAAAAGATATCAGCTCTCACTTCATGAATTTTTACTTTTGAAAAACTTCGAATTCTGACTGGATTTTTGAGAATTGAATAGTACATTCTGTACGGAACTCTTGAAGTTATAAAATATCTTTGCTAAGCTTTTCCTGATAATGCTTAGGTTATCAAAAAAAAATCAATTTACTTTTTGTTAACAACCTGATGGGTACGAATACACAATCGAAAAATTGCTCTTATAACTAAAAGGAAAGCTTGAAACCAATCCTAAACAATTGAAACTTCTGCTCAGAATCTGTAGGTTATGATAAGAAATATTTTTGTTTCAGAACTTGTCAAAGTCTCTAGACAACTTTTTTTTTTCGGAGAACGTTTTTCTGGTCCGATCTTGCTGAAAATTTCATCATAGATGCAATTCATGCTATAGGGTTTATCCTGAGCCTTTCGGATTCTTTTATTGTATCAATAGAGAGATATCAACGAACTAATGCCGCATTTTTTTTGAAAATCCTAACATTGTCGATCACTATAAAATTCATTAGGTTCAAAGATCTTTAGTATAGTTGTAAGTAGTCAGATATCTTATTTCTTCCCTATATTCATGAGTTTTCGTGACATGTTCACTTCAAATTAGAGAAAAATATATTGAAAGCGTTCTGTATTTTTGCTGAAATTTTCAAATCTTTGCATTTTACTCTTGAGTTTTTTCCTTACACTTCGATTATAAAACATAAAAGTTTTAGCACAAATACAGGACGATTAGAACTACATTCTGGTCTAATTTGATGTGAACTTGTCACGAAAACTCAGGAGAATCAACGACAAATAAGGTATCTGACTGTAAATAACTACAATGGATCTTTGATCATGATGAATTTTGATACAGATCGACGTTCCCAATCTTGCTCTTAGTAATGGTGAAAACTCGATCCCTTTAACTTGTATCGTTGAAAACCTATTCAAAAAATGGGCGTTAGCATTTTAAAAATTCGAGATTAGGTGTTAGCTAATCAATCAATTAATTAATTAATTTTAATTAGGAACGCACCAGACTGTAACTGGTCGTGGGTCATATAGCAAAATTCTTACACATTGGTTATCAAAACGCGCTCAGAGCTATCGAAAATTTCACATTGTAGAAAAATATTTGGCCTACGTAATGTATTTGTTCAAAAGATGGCAAAGCTATTAAGGACGAAATTAAGAAAAATATAAAACGCTCTAAATCATGTTAGGCATACACAATAGTGAAACCAACACTGACCAGCAATTGGCTCAAAAATTCCCACTGGTTATCAGCTTTCTTATATCATTAGATTCAAGAAATATAACCGAGATAGAAAAACAGAGCAAACAGATAGATACTAGTATTGTTTGATTCAGTTATAGGTGAAACCTTGGTTGCCGAAAACAAAAACTGATGAAAACTGGTGCGTCCCTACTTTAAATTGATAATCAGCTGAAATAGTACATTTTTACATATGGGTGGATTCGTGAGCTTTCGTACACTTTTTGGAAGAAAGATATTCCATGCCAGTGTGCTAGAAGAAAGCTTTTTTCGATTATAATAGCCTAGTTAGACGTAACATCGTCGGAAATGATGCAAGATAACAAATAATACCCTTTTTGACTTAAAAAGTGTGGAGATTCACATCATTCTGAAGAACACTTCATACAGAAACAGTATCCCATGATAACTGATGATAAATTGTTAAGCTTATTTTTGTCAGATTTTTGATTCGCATAGAAACATGAAATTTTTGTCACATATATATCTTATCAGAATCTTTTATTTCAGAAAGTTTTAGCTCTCTAGCTAATGCTAGTGGTAAAATAAATCAATTTTTATACTAATTTTTGCGACAGTTTTATAACAAAAATATATAAAAATCTGATACGAACATTTATGTACTACAGTCTTGTCTATGTATTTTCATCGTTATTTGTGGCTATGGGCCTAAAAATTCATTCCAGAAGTAAAAGATCTTGATCAGATAAATGTGCGATAAAAATTTCAGATCTCTATATCCATAAAAATTACGAAAACTATGATTAACAATTTATTACAAGATACTCTTCATGTGTGTGGCGTATTCCTAAAGATGACTTGAAGTTCATACTTTTCACGATTAAAAAGACTTTAATTGTTACCTTCGACTTTTTTCGACAAAATTACGTTTAACTAGCCTATTATATATAATTGAAAAAAAACAATTCTCTCAGAATTTAGTAGAAACTCCACGGATTCAACCATATGCCTATGCTAAAAGAACTTATTCAGAAGAATAAAACATGTGAAGAATGAAAATCAAATGAAAAGGTGGTTATGTCCTGTTTCCTCTAAAACGGTCTATATATTGATTTATAAAGTAAAACAAAACTAGAAACAGTTATTTAAAATTAATTATATTACTGTTATTTCTATTGCAAAAAGATTATTATCGTTTTATTCATAAAATTTCTTTTTTATTTATCATAATCTGATGTTCAAATTCACTCTCTAGCTCTTAACATTTTATTGCATAACATCTTCATGTATGGTTCATTGAACAATGGATTGAACTATATCATAGTTTAAAAAGAATTATCATCGTTTCTAACAGCATTTCAGATCGACAGGCACATTCTTAAATGGTCGTAAATCGTTGTATATTCATGTGTAACATGACTAAATATTAGTATAGTATTTCTTCATATCACACACAAAGGATAGCAGTCGTAATACTGAGAAATGTAATGCACCAAAATACGGTCGTATACGATGGAATTCAGAGTGAATATAGTCGTTTCACACTGTAAACACATTTTGTATTTCTCACCTTTTGATGCTAACGGATATGGTCCTTTTCGCTATAACTAGCAAATGATTATTTGTACTGTAGTTTCCATATAGTAACTATGTTTCAAGCAAACAGACGCAGATGAATTTCTGTTTCTAGACTCTATTTTTTCTGTCTAGGAAAAGCTAAAATAAGATTGACGTAAGAGTCTTCGTTTTGACTTTACTAGCAAAATAGATCGTGTTCACTTTTCATAGATTAAAAACAAGATCAATTCACATGTACATGTCTAAGTGGATCGAAAGATGAGAAGTAATTTGGATTTTTGTATAGTACAATATTCATCAGAGTGACGATATGTTTCATCTTTCATACGGGAGTTTCTTCTGTTTACTATCATCACCTTTGAAACAAATTTGTATACACATCATGAATCATTATTGAATTTAAAAAGGCTTTTTACAAAAAGGGAGGAGCAGCTCTAGATTAATGAGAAGTATTAAATTCCTGCAATATCGTATTTTATAGAAGTGATGGTTTCTTTTCGATCAAATGTTTCCTTACCCTGATGTGCCTTGGTATGGTCCAGCTGAACTACGTGAGATATCCAAATAGCCATTCACATAGACGTATTGTGTGTAGGTCGAATAATCATAAATATATGCCTATAATTAATGACGTAAAGGATATTTCGCTTGAGAAACTTTTCTACTTCACACCTACCATATGATACCATTGACCTACATTCAATACCTAAGCGAAATCGAAAAATATGATTTGAAAGCGACAATGAAGCATAACAATTTGTTGAATTTATTTGTTAGATCACTCACAACACCTTATATTGATTTATCAAGATTCTTACAGCATTCACTTACCTGAGTCCCAGAAACGTCATCAGCGAAAAATCCAAAATAGATACGTTGATTACGAATCACAATGTAAAGAGAATGATCTAGAATATTTTGCTGAAATTGACCGAAAACGGCATTATCTGTATACGGATTGTTATTGTGCAGCGTATTTGCATACATCCACACTTCCAATGTGAACGATGTATATGCCATATTGACGAATGTTGAATTGATAGATGCTGATTGACTCGCTGCTTGATTCAACCAAAGGCATGCACCGGCTCCATTGTAACCCGGTGAACCATACGTGGGCCCGTTAACGCCGACTCCATTAAAATTGTTATATAAATCTTGCATCGTGTTATCGAAGCTCCAGAAAATGCGAACAGCTAAAAAAGATTTCATAAATAAATGCTGATGGGTTTTGCTTCATTTGATACAAACCTGTCTGACAATAGGATCCTGTCCACATCGTCCCGTCACCTAAGATAAATAACAAACATCAAATATAAAATTCATTAAAGCTGAAAACTTACAAGTGCAAACATTTGTTGCTGTACAGTTGCCACCATTGGCACAGGAGGGAATGCAAGTAACTAGAAACAAAACAATGACAGAAAATAACAATTTCTGAATTTTATACTCTTGAAACTAGTTATTTTTCTGCAGACTTATACAAATAACCTCTTTGAACGGTTCCAATTAGAAAAATGAGAGCTTTTGTTAGAGATTAGAGTAACTTTAGTTGTTTCCTACAATGGCAAGTATTATTCCAATACGTAACTTCTCAAAAGAGATACTTTTGTGAAAAAGAAAGCTAATAGCTACTTAAGCAATCTACGGCTACTTGATGATCATACAATTACTTATTATTAGCTATTTAAAGGTTTCTATCACTATTCAAATGTTGCACATGTATTTCAATTTGTTGTAGCTATTTACACTTTGCGCATCGATTAAAAATTCTGTAACCATTTCGACATACTATGGCAATTCAAAAATCCTAAGATAAAGACAAGAAATCAATAGCTATTTATAACCTAATAGACGTTTAAACAATAAGACATATTTCTTCCACTATTTCATAGCTATGAGAATAGTTTCGTAGATATTGAAAAACTTTCATACGCCACATTATTTGAATAGCTAATCGATCTCTCCGATGGTTGCATACTTTTTTGGATGTGACTCACATCTTGACATCGTTCTGTCTTTCTTTGTGCACTGCTGCATGTAAATAAAATATCTCTCATGATCATGTGACGAATCTATATATGAAAGTCTAATAATATTAAGAAGAAGATCTCTCTCTCTATATATATATATGTATTGTACATGAAATTGGACTTCATTACATGTGAAAATAATGTAGAATTCAAACTTAGTTCTTTCTCACATATATCTTCATTATATTTTCTTATTCATACCTTCCAATCTCACGTATACATATGTAACAAAAAGCCTAGTTTGAATCATGATTAAATTTTAACAAAAATATATTTAACGAACGGAAAAAATTCAAAGAACTTTCTGAATTATCTTAATATTAAATTCATCTACAGATATAATTATTTCTAGAAAACTAATAACGATATGTGTGTATCAAAACAAATTTTTTTATGAACTACTTCGGATAACCCACAATCAATCCTTGCTCAATCGATGACCACTAATTTAAGTCATTTTTATGCACATAGTGGATTCCAGTGTTTGATGAGTTTCTATGTAAGTCGTTTTAAGAAATGTTGCTTCTCACTTAAAATATTAAACTTATGCTAGGATGATCCCCATCAAAAATGAGATTTTTCTGTAATTCTTTTGTGCAATTTATATTTCTTTAAGAGTACATTGATTTCGCCTCAACTTTTACTGTAACTCAATCCTTTATTGAGGTACTTTTCATTAAAAGATAGCGGTGATCGGACAAATCATTGATTAGTTGACCTGCAATATTAAATATATTAAAAACAACTTATTTTTTTCACTTTCATTCATATATATATCTATTGAGTGAACAATTCGACAGAGCTAAAATTTTGGCCACAGAGATGGGTTATGGAGTACCAACTCTAATAAACAATTCATTCAAATATACAAGTTGTTTATCTAGAAAATAATCAATTCACACTTAAACTTCTCAATTTATAAAGTACATGTTTATTATCTGAATATGATGAAAAGATGTTTAACATCATCAATCAGCATCTGGATTCTCATTTTATATTTAAAACTAATAAGAAATGAAATTTTCAAACACATGACTTGAATTTTTCAAAACTCATGAAGTATTCACCAATATCAATCTTCCAGAAAACGAAAAATAAAAATTTACACATTTTGCATAAAAACAAATCAATTCTGACCAAAATTATTAGGGTTGTATTCAGTCACGTGTTCATGGTATTTGCAATAAAAATTACCTATTCTTTAACATTGCAACAAACTATCGGTTCTGTCCAAGAAAAGGTTCACATTATAAACATGATAAAATACTAGGCTCGGTAGACAGAAAAAAAAATGGATAATTATGATTCGTTCTAAAGATCATAAATGTAACAACATATTCTTGACATGGACTTCAATAAATTTTTCCATGAAGTATTATCAGAATAATGCACAAAGTATGCATCCAGATTTCTATCTTTTCTTTACTACCTCTTTGTTAACTTATATAATTATGCCACTCTTTAGATACTCCTTGAAACTTTCAGATGCTGCTGAATGAAGTAAAATTTACAAAAAACTTTGAATACTTATTGAACTTCAACTATTCAAGTATTCAAGTATTCAAAACTCCAGACCCTTCCAATATCCATATACACTCGAACTGAACAGCTCAACACGGATGCGCCTGATGCAAGCGTCCTCATTTCTTCCAACCTGCAAAATATTGTCTCAAGTGTACGTGTAAACATATCACCGTCCCTTTCCATGGTGCCTTCTTTTTCGCACCGACACGACTCTCGTCAGGTGTGAGCATCGATATGAATGTTATCTTTCAGGAAGCCCCTTCACCGCACCCTCACGCCGTCGCATGATGTGTGCATGCAATGCTATGAATGTCGTCTTCCCGGAAACTCTCTTCTCCGCACTCACACTCCGTCATGTGATGTGTGCGTGTTATCATATGAGTGCCGCTATTCCCCAAAGTTCTCTCTCCGTACAATCATGCTGTGGCGAGATGTCAGTTATGCAACTATTACATAGTTGAATTTCAATTATTTGGAAAATGAATAATTGAGTACTTGAACAGTTTCAGTTCAAATATTCAATTATTCAAGTACCCAATACTCGATCTGCAACTATCCGATAATCGAACAACTGAACTACAGATATTCGTAAAATGAATAACTGAATACTTGAACAGTTGAATATTTGAAGTATGTTTTCAATAATTGAATTCAAGTTTCAGGTTTGACATGTATGGAGAAGCGATTGGATTATAGCTGATACTGTACTGTGTTCATTTATTCTGAACACGTAGATAACTAAATGCAACATTCATGTATACTTAGAAATAAATGAAGGTACTCAATTACTTTCTACCTGTTAATAAATTAAAACACTGATTAGAGAGTAACAAGATCTATATTTTTTATTAATTATAGAAGATTTACTTTGAGAGTGAGTAGAGCACATGTAAAGCTACTAACCGAAAAAGCTGTTTAGTTGACTCAACATGTAACTTGAACTTACTTGTTGCTGATACGCCAAATATCATGAAAACAATAATAACAATCACGACAGCGGCCAGAAGAATTAGGATAATGATAGCAAGGATGAGCAGTACTTTTCTTTGGAGAAGACATGTGCTTCTTGAAAGAGAAGAAAATATAGATATGAACATACAAAACTCTAAAAGAATCATTATCTTTCATAACTAAGACCAACCTGAAATTGTTTGCGTTGTTGCCATTTGATGGGACGTGATACACTTGATTCAGATTGCAATCTATTTCTCTCACTGTCACAATAGAGGGTCTATAGGCCTAAAAAATATGTTGAGCCAAGTTACTGAATTGTACCAGTGTTCTATCAACATTAGTCTCGTCAAAAATACATTTGAATATAAATATCAATCTTTCTGAGCATATCTAATCTATATATGACCTTAGTATTAAGAAAAATTATTATTTTAACTTTCTGTAATGGCCACAAAGATAAAAACAGATATCAAACTAGGAAGTGGCTATATACACTCGAGTGCACGTAACTTACTGGCTATGTACGCTCATTGAAACCTAGTCGACTGACTATATGCACTCGAGTGTACATAACTACCCGGCTATGTACACTCAGATAGATGTAACCAATAAATTAATAAATATTAAATTGTATTATCATCTTATATACACTTGATTATTTATATAAAAATATATTTTAACTTATTAATGATTTTACTGTGTGAATTTTTTATTAAATTGAAATAAAATATAAATCAAATATTCCAATTACGAAAGTGCAGAAGAGAGTTAATTCAAATAGAAATCAACTGATTTAGTGACATTTCTAGAATTTTCTTTCTTAGATTTTAAAGGAAATGTTGAATTTTATTATTTTCAATACATTTAGCACATTTGTCACGTAAAGATAATTGATCATACAACCGAACAGACAAAACATCCGCATAACAAAAAAAATAACAAAAGTTAGTGCAGATAATGCACAACCGTTATTACTAATTTACTATTGAACATTTTCAAATGTAGCTAAAACTGTTTTTTATCACATCAGATATCCTAAAAAATGAAATTATTAATTCTTTTGAACAATTTAACGAATCATAAACTTTCCAAATATTATTACAGCCCAGATTTGAAATTGTTAGTCAGTGATTTAGTATTTTATTTATAAATAACAATCTAGTACTCTAATAAACTTGTGTATATTTTAATTTGTAAAGGATCACATTAACCATTAATATTTGGAAATTGTTTATGTAATGATTCGAGAAATAAATGTATGTGAAAATCAATCAAGTATATCGTATTATCATAAGTATCATCAATTTGTTTTCTTACATTTATAATTATATGTTTTTAAGAAAGAATCGTTATCTTTGAACTTTTGTGCGGTCAAAGAATTATGATGAAATTCTTGTTCATCTTTGAGAGTTAAATCAAGGATCGACACTAGCAAACTAGTATGAGCGTATCGTGAAACGCGAATACACGAATACAGTACTTAAATTTAAATATAATAGTGTGATAGATTTTTTGTAATAGGTGATAAGAATGAGTGTAATAGACTCTTTTAATGATACAATAATATTTATTTAATATCATAAATAGGATTACATCAAAGGATCTGTTTCATTATAAAAATTATCTATTCATTTCATTTGATTTCTAAAAGTATCAGTAAGGCTCCATAGAAAAAAAAGATTAAAATGAAAATTAATGAATTTATCTTAATAAAGAGTATTTTTCTAGACTCCAAGCTAATTGACCTTTCATATTCTTCAGTTTCCGATTTTGTAAGTCAATTAATTGAAAAAAAAAATAGAATCTTTTGCTCTATAACCGATCAACAAAAACAGTGTGACATAACATAATTTTTGCTCAATGCTTTGAAAATAATAAAATTCAACATTTTCTATAAAAGATAAGAGAAAACATGCTAGAAATGTTACTAAATTAGTTGATTTCTATTTGAATTAACTCTTCTGTACTTTCGCAGTTGTAATATTTGATTTATATTTTATTTCAATTTGATAAAAATTTCACGCAGTAAAATCATTAATAAGTTACAATATATTTTTATATAAATAATCAAGTGTATATACGACGATAATACAACTTAATATTCATTAATTTATTGGTTACATCTATCTGAGTGTACGTAGCCAGTAGGCTATGTGCACTCGAGTGTATATAGCCACTTCCATAAAACTATCTGCAATAAGATTTCCGTAATAAATATGAATAAGACGTTTTCTATTGAGCAAATTACAGAAATACGAAATCGTTATATAATTCATATTAAAAAAATCTATTACCTAAGGGAAAACAAATTTCTGTATTTTTTTTTATTGTAGCACGCCTATTGAAAAAATATGTTTGAAGAATTAACTATTGTTCATTTTCGTTTCAAGGCGCCTATAATTAAAAATAAACAAAGTATCTGAAATGAGACGTTCCATACTTGGTGAATTGCACATAGTCCTTTTATTATTTAGTTTGACTCGGAATTGATTAGTTATTGAGAACAAGAGTTTAATATCTGCCTCTTTTAGAAAATATGCTCAACACATGAAAGCTGCAACGACTAAAGCTAGAGTGAACACGGTTAGAGAAATGCTGCATGAATATATGGAAGGATAGTGTGTGCAAGTGATAGAAATGTAATTGATGTTTTTCCTCGAACATAAGCAATAATCTTTCTCATCTCTTGAAAGAAAGTACTGAAAAAAGTAGCAGATACTATACTATCTAA